TCATGATGAGGTACTTTGCTGACTTGACGGCTGCCTTGGCGTGTCTGACTGGGGGTAATGTGGTGAGGATACCACATGGTGTACGCCCCATCGTTTCATGAACTCTTGGAACTCGTAGCTGGTGAACTGGGGTCCTCCATCAGTCCTCAAGCGGAGAGGAACACCAACATCCCTGAAGTAATAGCAGAACATGCGTGTGGTGCGTGATGCTGCAGATGAGGCACCACAGGGAACAATGATGGGCCAGCCAGAGAGTCGATCCGCAATTACCAGGAAAGACTTCCCAGCAACTGTGAAGAAGTCAGCGGACACAGACTCAAAAGGCTTTGTAGGGTTATTGTCGTTTTGTATGGTCTCTTGCTGTTGACTGGGTTGCATGACCTGACATGGCTGGCAGGCTTGAACTGTGCTGATGATGTCAGCGTCAATCCCAGGCCAATATACGGTCTGACGTGCCCTGCGTTTTGTCGCTTCCACCCCACGGTGACTGTCGTGTAGGCGAGCGAATGTGTGGCGACGGTGGTCGGTCGGTATCACAATTCTTTGGCCATACAAGACCAGTTCCCCATCGGCAGAAAGGCTGTCTCGAAGCTTCCAGTAAGGGATTAACGAATTGTGTAGGTCATAACGGTTGGAAGGGAACCTAGTGATTACACAATTCTTGAGCCTGCAGTATGTAGGGTCTGCAGTAGCTGCTTCTCGTAACTCTTGCAGGGTTCTATCGGCGTCTTGGTTCTTGGAGTCGGTGATGGTACTAATAGCATTTAAGGTCACTATACTCCACAAGTGGGTGTCGGTGTGGCTGCATAGCTTCTCATCTTCTGGTGCGGGCTTGTTGACTGGAGGTCAGGACAAGGCATTGGGGATGCAGAGCTGCTTTCCAGCATGCCACACAGCCGTAAATTGATAGGGTGAGATAAGACCCTTAAGGCATTGGAGGCGGGGTTTCTCTACTGCGTCCAACGTGTACTTGTTGAGGATCGATATCAGTGGCCTATGGTCAGTCATCAGTGTGAAGTTCAGAACTCCGATTAAGTATGGTTTACATTTAGATGTGGCCCAGACGGCGGCGAGCAACTCTAATTCAATTGTGGTATAACATGTTTCAGCGTCGGTAAGGAAACGGGAGCCAAACTGAACAAGGTGTAGCCGGCCTTGGCCATGGTCTTGGAGTAATGCGTAGCCGATTCCCTAGAGGCGAGAGGCGTCCGTTTGCAGCGTGATTGGGAGTGCTGGGTCGAAGTGTGCCAACACTGGTGACACGTTTGAAGGCCTCGTCATGATCAGCTGTAAAATTAAATGTCCGTTTTGGGCTCAGCAAGGGGCGAAGGGTTTGGGCAACAGAAGCAATATCTGGGGTGAACTCTGACAGTTGGTTCACCAGGCCCATGAAGGAACGCAGATGAGTCAGGTTTGCTGGCGTTGGAAAGTTGCGAATGACACTGACTCTTTCCTGATCTCTTCAATTCCCTTGGCTGAGATGTTGTAGCCACAGAAGCTCACAATAGGGGTGGCGATCACAAACTTGTCCTGGTTGAGCGTAATCCCATGCTTGCGGAACCTAGCTAGCATCTGGTCAACTTGTCGGATGTGTGTCTTGAAGTCGTCATCGTAGAGAAGGATGTCATCTACAACCTTTACACATCTCTGCATACCCTGGAGGGCCATGTCTCCTCGACGACAATAAGCATCTCCAGTAGCCGTGAAACCCATAGGGCCTCTGCAATGCCTGAAGCATCCATACGGCGTTATGAAAGTAGTAAGGTGCTGGTCCTCCTCAGCGAGTTCAAGTTGCCAATATCCGCACAAAGCATCTGCTGTCGTGAAATACCATGACGATGGAGTGACACGACGGATGGCGTCGAAGGGTGTGTCGGGCGGGATACTTGGCTATTGAGGTGGGATAAGTCAACTGTAATCCTCAAACCTTTATCCTTCGCTACATGTGCGATTATACCTTGACTCGAGTTCTTCCTTCACCTGTTGCTAAAATGCGAAGGGAATCTGTCTCGGAGTGTGGATGGCAAATGGTACTGCTCCTTCCTTTAAGTGTATCCTCATTGGTACTCCCAGCATTGGCTGTAGCGGGGCCACTGTGAGGTCTTTCTTGGTGGGTAGCACATCCTTGTATTCCTGTACGAAATATTCTCTTGCAGCAGACGGGGTTGGCAGGTCAGGGTGGCGCGACTTGGCACACTTGTATGCATGTTTGACCTTCAAAATCTGCTTCGGGAATTGGGAAGAAATGATGTCTAACTCCTGACAGTATCCATAAAAGAGGAGAGGAGTCTTGACACCATCATGGACTTGTATCTTGTCCTTGCAAGTCCTCTTTCCTGGTCGTAGTGTTGCATGGAAAAATCTCAGGGCAGGAGCCATTTCAAATCCATCAGCTGTCAGGGTAGTGGTGGATGCTAGGGGTTGTAAATCACTGCGGGGGATCTTCAGCAAATCCAGGTGTTTCTTACCCATGATCGTGACATCCGCGCCCGTATCTGGCAACATCGGAAGGCGTGATATGGCCTGGCCATACGTCAGGTGGTCACTAACAGGCTTAGGAGTCTTGCTGTCTGCTGACATACGACGACAGTTGTGGTTCTTCTGGCGAGGTGATCCTTTGCTGTCGTCGGCCTTCTTCGATTTGCATACCTTGGCAAAATGGCCTCTTTTGTGACATGAGCGGCACTCGACTTCCTTTGAGGGACATTTGCTGGTCCTGGCCCAATGTCCTTTGCGTCCACAATTCGAGCACGTGTCATTAGCAGGGCATTTCCCATGTCCGTGTTGTCGGGTACATGACTGACAGGAGTAGGTGTTCGATACAAGTTTGTGTTCTTGACGTCTTGGAGGAGAGTGGGTGGTCTTGCCATGCTGTTTCCTCTTCCTGTAGCTTGAAACAGCGCATAGTTGACTAGGGGATGAGTGGATGGCTGAAGCTGCATCCTTGGTGGCCTCGAAAGAACGACAGCAGGTGACCATATCCTGGAGTAATGCACTTTCATGGAGAGAGATGAGGCGTTGCACAAGCTCTTCCTCTTTGACACCCATCATCAGGATCATTTTGAGCTGTGCCTCCGCAGAAGTGACTGGTTTGCCTGGACATAAATCCAGGTCTGAAAAAGTCTGAAAAAGTCTCACCATCCTTCTGTTTGCAGCACAGAAGTTCACGTCGGCGTAGAGCTTCGTTACGCTGGTTCTTAAAGTGCCTTTGGAGTTCATTTAGTACTTCGTCGACTGTCAGTGGAGTGTCATGTGCAATCCCCAGCATGTATTGCAGGATCCGTTGCACGTCGAGGGACACCGACATCGGAAGGTATCGTCTGCTCGTAATGTGGGCAGTCTGTGTGCAACAGTCTTGCTGGCAGGATGTGTACTTAATAAGGTGGAGAAAGTACGGCGTACTTCCTCTGTCTGTGTACCGAAGCGTCAGGGGTGGCGGGTTATTGGCAGCGCGGTAATGAGGGCTATCGGTCCATGTGGGTGGCCCATCATGGCCTGGTAATTGGGCCGTGGATGACCCGGCCGTTTCCTCGTCTGTATCTTAGTGATGTTGGGTGTCTACAGATTCGGCATAATCTCGTGGAGTCGACATTATCCTTCACTTCACTGTAGAACGATCGGTGGAGCAATAAAATGTCCGAAAACTTCTGTGTATTAACTCCGTTTAATACAATTTTAAGTTTCACGGCAGCAACTTCAATGCTCAGTGTTCACCGAGACGTCGTGTAATGTCTTACCGGAGACATTAGCTGGCGTACTGCTGTAACTGTAGCAAGCCACAGGCACAAAACAATCACGGCCATTAACACAGCTCAGTACACTTCCTCAACACTAAACTTCATACAGGGTATTACACTGGTCATCCACACTATTAAACGTTCCTATGTGTGTTCAAATCACTATTTCACTCGGAGGGTGTAATGGTGTTGGTGGATGAGGGGACGGCAAGGAGACAGAAGATTTTTGTTGATTCAGCCCTTACTCTGGTACTTAGCCTGTAGTTACTCTGGTAACTCACTGCGCCATGTGGTGTGATGATTTGCCGGATATGCTTGTAGGTTCAAATGAAACCAGGGATTACTTACCAAGGCTATATTAAAGTACACAGAGGAGCACTGCGGTGACGCTCTGGCACGTTGTTACTGGAACACGCCACTAGCAAACAAGTTGTTACATGAATGGAGGTAGATAGTTGCATGGTTAATATGATACAGAGGGTGACAATCAATGGTTTACATGTTATGGTATGGTATATACACAGACACTAATATATCACATATTTACACCTCCCTCCCTCCTCACACTTGTAGCTGTCTCGACCAGAATGTTTTTTCATCAGTCGCTTAGATCGACGTGGGGTCATTGGGAGGTCAATTATAGAGGACTTTAATTTGTTTCACAGGGATGTGGGGGAGGGGATCAACACTAGGGGTAGGCACTGGTTGTAGGAGTCGTCGTCTACGCCACCAAACTAGTCCACTAGGTAGTCGCACCTCATAATCCCTTGATCTGCCGTAGCCCATAACTGTGCCAACTTTGTCCCAATGAAGTAAGTTCTGGTCCTGGATCCGTATTGTCTTTCCTACATGTAAGGTTGCGGGCGTGCTTGTCGCACTGACGTTTAATCTCCTGGCTACGGTCGGCAGTTCGGCGATTGTAGTTTTCTGACTTCTTTTTCCATTCCTGCGAGAAGGACTCTGGATGGGAAGGAACACAGGAGCAGAGTGGGCGGCCATAGAGTATCTGGCAGGAGACCTTCCTGTGATGTTAGGGTTGTTGCACAGCTCAAAGAGGCCTCTATTGAAGTCTTCGTTGTCCAGGTTGCCAGAGGGTGCCGTCTTCATGATGAGGTACTTTGCTGACTTGACGGCTGCCTTGGCGTGTCTGACTGGGGGTAATGTGGTGAGGATACCACATGGTGTACGCCCCATCGTTTCATGAACTCTTGGAACTCATAGCTGGTGAACTGGGGTCCTCCATCAGTCCTCAAGCGGAGAGGAACACCAACATCCCTGAAGTAATAGCAGAACATGCGTGTGGTGCGTGATGCTGCAGATGAGGCACCACAGGGAACAATGATGGGCCAGCCAGAGAGTCGATCCGCAATTACCAGGAAAGACTTCCCAGCAACTGTGAAGAAGTCAGCGGACACAGACTCAAAAGGCTTTGTAGGGTTATTGTCGTTTTGTATGGTCTCTTGCTGTTGACTGGGTTGCATGACCTGACATGGCTGGCAGGCTTGAACTGTGCTGATGATGTCAGCGTCAATCCCAGGCCAATATACGGTCTGACGTGCCCTGCGTTTTGTCGCTTCCACCCCACGGTGACTGTCGTGTAGGCGAGCGAATGTGTGGCGACGGTGGTCGGTCGGTATCACAATTCTTTGGCCATACAAGACCAGTTCCCCATCGGCAGAAAGGCTGTCTCGAAGCTTCCAGTAAGGGATTAACGAATTGTGTAGGTCATAACGGTTGGAAGGGAACCTAGTGATTACACAATTCTTGAGCCTGCAGTATGTAGGGTCTGCAGTAGCTGCTTCTCGTAACTCTTGCTGGGTTCTATCGGCGTCTTGGTTCTTGGAGTCGGTGATGGTACTAATAGCATTTAAGGTCACTATACTCCACAAGTGGGTGTCGGTGTGGCTGCATAGCTTCTCATCTTCTGGTGCGGGCTTGTTGACTGGAGGTCAGGACAAGGCATTGGGGATGCAGAGCTGCTTTCCAGCATGCCACACAGCCGTAAATTGATAGGGTGAGATAAGACCCTTAAGGCATTGGAGGCGGGGTTTCTCTACTGCGTCCAACGTGTACTTGTTGAGGATCGATATCAGTGGCCTATGGTCAGTCATCAGTGTGAAGTTCGGAACTCCGATTAAGTATGGTTTACATTTAGATGTGGCCCAGACGGCGGCGAGCAACTCTAATTCAATTGTGGTATAACATGTTTCAGCGTCGGTAAGGAAACGGGAGCCAAACTGAACAAGGTGTAGCCGGCCTTGGCCATGGTCTTGGAGTAATGCGTAGCCGATTCCCTAGAGGCGAGAGGCGTCCGTTTGCAGCGTGATTGGGAGTGCTGGGTCGAAGTGTGCCAACACTGGTGACACGTTTGAAGGCCTCGTCATGATCAGCTGTAAAATTAAATGTCCGTTTTGGGTCAGTAAGGGGCGAAGGGTTTGGGCAACAGAAGCAATATCTGGGGTGAACTCTGACAGTTGGTTCACCAGGCCCATGAAGGAACGCAGATGAGTCAGGTTTGCTGGCGTTGGAAAGTTGCGAATGACACTGACTCTTTCCTGATCTCTTCAATTCCCTTGGCTGAGATGTTGTAGCCACAGAAGCTCACAATAGTGGTGGCGATCACAAACTTGTCCTGGTTGAGCGTAATCCCATG